CCCCTTCTGCTTCATAATTGGTAATATCACCTTTCCAACTACTGTCCTGTGAACTTTTTAACATTTTCTTTTTCCTTGCCACCATCACTGTAACATTTATAAATATAGGGTATCAAAATTCAGAATGAAATAATCACCACTGCAGGAAGCGCATGACTAGCAGCCAGTACGAGTACCAGTACCAGAACCAAGAGCATAAAAAGACTGCATGACTGAGTAGCACTGATTACGAATACTGCAATGAACCAAAACAACATATTTGCGTTATTAGAAAGAGAAATATTTCTTTCAGACTAATTCATTAAGATTAAGGCTAGAGACTTCTCAGATGTGATGGCGTGCAGTTCAGTATAGAGATACCAAAATTTCAAAGGAATTTGCTGTCTCTCTTCTGGGAAGGAGAGTACATCAAGCAGGAAAATGTGTAGGCATAGGGATGGAAGGACGGGGGCTGGGGCCATGAACAAACCAGTAAAAACTAGTAGCCCTGCAAAGGGTTTCCATTCTTTTACTATATTATCATCAAACATTATGTTAAAAATATACACTGAAGAACTGCTCCTTTATCAATGAAAGTAACAAAACCATCAAGCAAGAAAAATTAAGTTGATTTCTCGCCCAACACCTCTGCCTGCTTAGATCAGACATTTCTTTTGACTGGTGATGACTGTCTTGGACCTTTGCATCCTGTGGATGTAGGCACTGATGCAGTCATTTTGGAAATACATGCTGCCTCCATCTGCAGCAATGAATTCCTCCGAAACGTTGGCAACATTGTCCATATTCCACATGGTGCAAAGACGCAAGAGCAGTGAATCACTATGAAAGCCTAAACTCAGTTACTACTCTCTGGTCTCACACATTACTATTAGCAATCTGAAGTTATCCATTACAAGTGAAACCAGAAATGTGCCGGATTTCACATGTCAATCTACATTTTGGCACAATATTTCAGTCTTATGAAGTGCAACCTCAGTTCTTAAAAATGCTCAATACAGCAAGTGCCCATAACAGCCCCAAATTCTTGAACATTAATTACATACATTACTACATACTATTAAGGTTTTAAAGAATGCAGGTGTAGCAATATTTATTCTTTTTGGCACATTCACAACAAAAACTTGCAAAATGCATGTGTTAGCTTCAACACATTTATCTGTTCATAAGTCCATGTGTATGTAACAACCTGAGAACCACTAAATGGATATTCATGAAACTTTATCACTGAACAGTTTTGTTAAAATCTACCAACATATTTCAATTTGGTTAATATCAAACAACAATAATAAACACTTTACATGAAAACAAGAATGTACTTCTGTGTTCATTCCATACATAACACAAGCATAATTTGCTAAGTATTCACCAGAAAGAAGGCTGATTTCAATAAAAATTGAAGATTATGAAACTCTTATGGCAAATATATTATTTTTTGTTTCTTGGCGTGGGGTGAGAGTGAATGTATTTGGTATGTCGGCCACGTAACTGGCCTATTCAACCAGCCCTGGACAATACTATGATGAGCATGGAGCAGTCAGTGAATTGAGATATGGCAAGGAAACCAAAGTACTTGGAGAAGCTCCACTTTGTCCACCACAAATCCCACATGTCCTGACCTGGGCTCAAACCTGGGTGATCATTGTTGGAAGCTGCCAACTGACCACCTGGCCAATACACTAAGTCATATGGTTTCTGAGATAAATAAAAATTAATTTTACATTGTCTACAGGTAATAATAGAGCATATGCAACAGAAGTGTTATGCTGAAAACATTTCCTGAATCGTCTGAAGTGGTTACCATGCAGATGTGAAAGTACAGTGGAACCTCGCTTAACGAGCAAAAGAAACTGTAAAAAAAATGACTCGCTTAACAAGCGACGTTTCGCTAAGGAGTGACGAGAGGGTAAGTCCCGGACTGTGCGCTAGCTACATCAGTCTGTGTTTAGCACTCGTTCCGCTAGCATCTTAGTGTCGCTTGTGATCACACATTTTTCCAAACTTGTGTTCAGACATATTATTTGTGATTTTTTTTGTGTGCAAAGTTTAATAACCCTTCCAAAAATGTCCCCGATGAAAAAGCCACAAAAAGACAGCCATAAGAGAATAAAAATAACCGTAGAAATGAAACGTAAAATCATTGAAAAGCGAGAACGAGGTGTGAGCATGGCTGATCTAGCATGCACATACAATCAGTCTACATCAACGATTTGGAGTTGCATTGTGTTTCACAGCAAGAAGTTGTGGAGGAGAGTTTGTCAGAGGAGGAGGCGGAGGTAACAGCAAAGCAACAATCTTCTGGCCCAATAAGAGAAATGCTGAAAGCATAGGAAACTGTTGCATCGTACATTGAGAAGCATCACCCTAATAAGGCAGTGGCTACGCACGCTACAAATTTATTTAATGATACTGCTGTGTCGCATTTTCACCAAATTTTGAAGCGTCAGCAAAAACAAATGTCTCTAGACAGCTTTCTAGTAAAAAAAAAAAAAAAAAGAATTAGATATGTATCATAAATAATAAACTATTTTGATTTTTTTTCTGCAAATCAAATTCGCAAATTCATTCCACATAGAAGAAAAGAGGAAGATGATTCGCACTCCTTAACAATGTATATATAATTTTCTTTGAATAAACGTTATACATAAAATTTTTTGAGTATTTTCTTCGGCATGAAACACATTATCGTATTTTACATTAATTTATATGGGAAAAATTGTTTCACATTACGAGTAAGATTCTGGAACAAATTATGCTCATTAAGCGAGGTTCCACTGTAACAATAATAATTCAGCATTGTCAGCATTTTTAGCATTATTCAAAGTGAGAAGTTAGAAGAATTTTCTCATGCTTATATAACGTCCTGCACTTGCTCATGTTGTTCAGTTGTGAATCTGAGTAGTTTTGTGCAGGCATGCTAAGTACTCATTGCTCACAGTCACATAAATTCTCTCTTCGGTCCTGTAATTCTTTGATTCTGGAATGCAGACTTTCCTCTCCCAAACAAGGGAGAACGACAGGATGTGGTATAATAGTACCTCTACAGCTTGGGAAGAAAGTCTAAAATTACATTTTGTGCAAGGAGTTTTGGAAAAGATGTGGCTGCCTAGGAATCACACATTAAACAAGTGTCAAAACTGCACTACTTTTATATGAGAATTTTTCTACATATAAAATAAAGGACATTCAGTTGCCAGAGGAGGGGGGACCTCTCTGACAGAAAGGGACTAGGAACCCCTGTCAGAGGAGGGACGACCTCGCTGACAGAAAGGGACTATTAGATACCACTGCCAGTAAGAGGTTGGAACCTCGCTGGCAGAAAGGGACTGATAGTAAGCACCAGTACCGGTAGGGTATGGAGACAGTAGAAATTAAAGGGGGACGCACAATGGACCAGTAACCGGTCTAAGTGCATGGGGAAACCCACCCCCTCAATACGGAATACGGAAGGGCATTCAGTCATCGAGGAAACCTGGCAACAGCATGGATCAGACATTCCTCACAGACTGCTGCTGTGACTGCCAACAGCAGAATGAGTCATTAGCGCTGATAAATGTGCGCTATCAGGTGGTCTGATCTTGTCACTGCAGTAGGTCGCATTAACAGTCAGTCTGTTAGAGGTGTCAATAGGCAGTTACATTTATACTGAAATGAAATTCACTACTGAACAGCATGTGTTTATTGTCAAAACTTGTGCAAGGAGAAAAACTTTCAGGAAAATGTATCCGTAAGTTTCGTCGTAAATATCCTGACTCGGCAGTTCCCACAAAGTCGTGCATCCAAGCTTGTGAAAAAGTGGCAGGCCACAGGTTCAGTGTGTGACATAAAGAAGCAACTGAAGAGGATTGTGCTGACTGAAGAAAAGGTTTGGGATACTGAGGCACAACTACAGATCAGTCCTCGAAAATCGTTAAGATGCTTAGCATAGAAACCAGTGTTTTGCTAGGATCTGCTTTCACAGCCACAAAATTAATCAAATTTCACCTGTATAAAATAAGAGTTGTGCCTGAGCTGAATCAACCAGATTATGCAGCAAGAATTCGTTTTTGCAACTGACTGCTTCAAAATGTGCACAATGGAATCGTGGATCCACAGCTTCTGTTCATGACTGATGAAGTGTGGTTTCACGTTAGTGGCCATGTCAATGCACAAAATGTAAGAATATGGAGCAATGAAAATCCTTACGCTATACAGCAGGTGCCACTGCATAGTGAAAAGGTGGAGGTGTGCTGTGCTGTAAGTCCACAGCAAATCACAGGCCCCTTATTTTTCCATGAAACTGTGAATTCTGACCACTAGGTTAATGATATACTGAACCCACTCTTCAATCAGCTGACTTCTAAAGAAAGACAATATGGGTACTTTCAGGAAGACAAAGCTACAGCACATACATCTAATGCACCATGGTCACAATACAGGAAGTGTGTGAAGACAGATTAATCAGCAGGGGACTGTGGCCTCCCAGATCTAAGATTTTGCGATTTTGTCTTTGGGGAAACCTAAAGGAAAAAGTCTACAAGAATAATCCTTGCACTGCTGAAATTCTGCAGAATTAAATAACATGCATAACTGGATCAATTACCATGGACCAACTTCGAAAGTGTCACACAGTTTATTTATTTGATACGAGGCATGTTTGCAAGCATAATGGGGTCACTTTCATCACCTGTTATAAAGCACAGTAAGTTTGTGTTATCTTTTTACAGTATTCTTATAAATGTGTGCATGTACAGAAACTGATGTAAGGGAATAGTCACAGAGAAATATTCCATCCACTCTACGCTAGTGAGACTGCACGCGTTTATCAGCGCTAATGGCTCATTCCGCTTTTGGCAGTTACAGCAGCAATCAGTGACAAATGTCCAATCCACGCTGCTGCCAGGTTTCCTCGAACACGGAATGCCCTTTATTAAGACACTGACAGTGAAGTTCATCTCACTATAAGCCATATTCAGTATATCGTGGTTCTGCTGTATAGACAAAACACAGTCAATAGCAACATACATTTGTGATTATATATTTACATTTTATTCAAGTAATGGTGAACTCGAAGCCAGATAACCTGGGAAATAATTACAGAATATCTCTCATATATTATGAAGTCATATATATGACGATCAATTAGTAAACAAACACTACATCAGTACAACTGGAATAATCAGTTGTGTAACATTTTCCACAACTTTATCATCCCACGCAATAATTAATTTCTCAGTTTCAAAATGTTTCCATTTGACTTCCTTTATGCCATATGTATTTACATGTCATGAAGTTGCCATTATAACAGTCACATAAAAGCTGGTTTAATGAAAAGCATTTTTAATAGATAATTAATGTTTAATTTACAGTCAGTCTCCTTCGTACCGTGGGTTAGATAATGAAAATATGAAAAAGTGGCATACTATCATCTGCAGAATCAAACGATACAAATGACCACTGCCTATGATTTTTCAATAACATTTGCAGAAACAGATCACAAGGCATTATTTTCAGGGTGCTTACAGATGGGAGCAACAAGGAAAAGAAAAACGCAATTTATTCATGCAATAAAAATTCTTGAACTGAGCTGCTCTTAGATTCCTACAGCGATGCGACATGTTGTATTTACATATGAACCTTGTTCTTTTTGGATCAATGTAAGCACATACGCAATGACCATACTTCCTGACATCCTACATTAAGAAAATGAATAATACCAAGGCAACCAATGGCAAACAGCCCAAACGACCTAAACATTATTTTCATGTCATATACATACCTGTACATACAATGCAAATATTATATTGTATAAAGCTAACACAAGCAAAACTCACCAAGTATCACAGGTACTGTATCTCCTATATAACACAGAGATTGGCATCAGGTGGCCATACTTCGGCTCACCACTAATCTCCGATAAATTATACTGATGTATATTGCCAATAAGAACAAAACAAATACATCATCTAATAGCCCCAAGACACCGAACACAGCTTCCGGAATGATATCTAGTGGCGAAACTAAGTACATCACTGCTGCTAAGAAGCAGAGCACTATTCTAATTCTAAACATCAGCATCAAACCTCCAACAGAAAAGAATTCATTCCAAAGGTGCCGCATCAGGGTTGGGCAATCACGAATCATTTCCATAAACTGCAAACAAAAGTAAAATATCAGCTTCTCATCCAGAAATACATCCAAATATGAGTCAGTACAAAAATTATTCATCCATAAGATATCATTAACGTATAATTTCATTATTACATGGTAAAATGAGTCACGTATTGCTGAAGGTAATGTGATGACAGTGCCTCAGGTTAGACATCATCGTCCCCAGCATCACCATCATGGCCAAAAACATACTCTTGTACTCACTCATATGTGGGGAGCAGAAATCTTACAAGGAAAATATTTTCCCATCTTATATTATGTTATCAAGTAAACCATGCAGTGATTCTGACTTGTAAATGAATCCAACCATAGTGATAAGAACATAAATATATTTCTTCACTTCAATTTCCATACATACCGAGCGAGGTTCACCAGAGAACCTACGGTTATAGTCAGCTATCATTTGATACAGAACTTGTACATCAGGTCCAACATCTGAAGCTGGGGTACGCTGTAATTCTCGCTCGGTGAAACAAGCAAAGAGAACTGATATCTGCAATCAGTAAAAGAATTATACCTCTTACATTCAGAATTTAATAAATGAATTCAAAAGGAATTAAAGAGTTAAGGATCTTTTAAAATAAAGTCCTTTTTGGTTTTCCTTCTTACTCAGTAACTAATCTATTTTTGATAATTATAAACATTTCTAAAGATAAAGTGAAATCTACCTGTTGACGGCACATTGGGCAGGCGATACGGGACATTATGCCTCTGATATATATGTACGTGCGAAGGCAGTTTCCTAAAAATAAACATACTTTCTTGAGGATGATTTCAAGTATGAGGAAGAGTCAGTAAATAGGTCACAGATGGAAGTAAAACAGCTGTAATAGACGAAATAGGTTTTCTATGTGTATCACTAGGTAGCAGATGCACATGCACATGTTGAGAGACTGGTTTCAGTAGTCAAAATGGCAACTGTGCTTGAAGAGTGTATTGCTGAAGAGCAGCGTTCTGTTATGCATTATGCAAAATGACTCAATGCAAAGGATATTCATAAAAAAATTATTGTTTATGGTGGAAAGTGTTTGTCATGTAGAGTGGTTCACACCTAAGCTGAAAAATTGTCAGCTTGGTAGGAAACATTTCACTGATGATGAAGATATTTAAACAGAGGTGCAGAAATGGCTAAGAAAACAGTCAAAAGACTTCTATGCTGCAGATTTCAATGCGATGGGACAAGTGTATCAGTGCTGGTGGAGGATATGTTGAGAAATAAATTTTTTTTTAGTTCTGAATATCACTTATTTCACATTTTATATCCATTTGTAGCAAAGTTACTGACTCTTCCTTGCATATAAAATTAAAAGGAAATTATTTATCATCCATAGAGTAACAATAAGTAGCCCCTCACCGCACTGCAACACAGCAGTAAAATTACACTTTACACAGCATACAAGCAATACTGATGTGTTATGTAAACAACATATGGCATTATTATACACCCCTCAACACAACAAATTTGCAATAAATAACCAGTGTTATTGTATTATTTGTTTATTATGCACATTTGCTACTTGTTTCGATCCAGCTGGATCATCATCAGGAAATTGTTTTTATGAAATGTACTACACATTATTGAATTGTATTTCTAATGTTGAGCCATATTAGTAATCATTAGTAGGAATTTCATTACAATACCCATGTTTCCATATGTTCTGAATATTAGTCTTAAAATGTAAAATGTTATATCTTGGTTTAAGGTTAAAAAATTAAAATTAAAAATGTTTCTATACTTAGCATGGAGTACAAGTCTACGATGTTGTGTTGTAAAGTAGATGGGTTTCCGGGAATCTGCGCTGTTTTTCAATTGTTTACATACAAGGTGGTTCAAATATGACCAGGACTGATTTTTTTTTAACCATAATTGCCAAACACTTACTTGCACATATCAGTCTTCAACTGACTTTCTATGTTGGACTTTAAATGTACATCCTGTTTGTCTGATATATTGGAGTGGGCATTCATTACATTTGCATTGGTTTACTCCACTTTTATTATATGTGTCTATTGTTTTCTCTCTTGGTTTTAGATTGTTTCATTTAGTATTAGTCATTTTGAATGCTATTCTTATATTAGCGTTCTTGAATAGTTTTGTGATTGTTCTTGTATCGAGACCGTAATATGTGAAGGTGGCCCATTTTGATTTTTGTGTCTCTTGTAGAATATTGGTAGGAAGTTTGTGTTGTTGTCTTGGGTGTAATGCTCATTGCTGATAATCACTGATTTTAATATTTCTCATATAATTTTTAATTCTTGGTCTTTATCTTCGAACGTACCCTATCTACTCTACAATACAACATCACAGGCTTGTACTCTATGAGAAATACAGATACATTTTTAATTTCTAATTTTAATTTTGTAACCTATAATCTTATCTTTCAACTTTCAATTCAGTTTACATTTCAAGACTAATATCCAAAATTTGATGAAACACAGGTATTGTAATGAAAATCATATTAATTGTTACTAATACAGACCCACATTAGAAATACATAGAAATACACAAAAATATAATTAAATAAAGAACAGTATATTTCATGAAAAATTGCCTGATGATGATCCGATGGGATTGAAACGTGTAGCAAATGTACATAATAAATGAATGGTGATACAGCATTGGTTATTCACTCAGAATTTGCTGTGTTGAAGGTTGTATAATAATACTTTATATAATATACAACAGGATGCAAACAATAAAGATAAAATAATCAGTCCATTCCAAAATTAAATTAATAACATTTCAACACAACAAATACAAACTTACTTCCAGTGAAGGTTAATCATAATTACTTTAACAAAAATATATTCCTAGGTGTATTACAATTCTTTTATATATTTTAAAAGCAGTGACCCTCAAGCCTTTTATACCCACAGCACAGTGTAGAACAGTTCTGAAATTGTAGGCACATCAAGGTGTCCGGGATGTGTGAAGTGTGCACCAGGTGAGGTGGGTGCTCTCCCGAAACAAATTTTGAAAAAGAAAGATTCTTACTAAGCCATTTGAGTATTAAAAAAAAAACCTAGAGGTGGAATATTCAGACTAAATTAATGTGTCATGGCAATAAGAAGCTCCACAGGAAAATAAAAAATATAAATAAGTAAAGTGTGCACCACATTTCTGCACGACCATGCACTCTGAGAAACACTGCCCTGTACAAGTAACTCACTTGCAACAAAACAGCCTGAAGTCCCTGAAATGTACTGTACTGGTGTACATAATAAGTAATCAGTTAACAGAACATTTGCAAACAATTTCTAACACAGGAAATGACATAAGATGAACAACAACTCTTTCACCCACATACAAAACTTCTACAGTTAGATAGCAATAGCTGACATACATGTCATATACAAACAATATGCACTGGAGGAGAAATGCCTGACAACCTGAAGGACATACCACAATACAGATGTCCACAATTTGTCTCAACAGCCAGCTGATGTTCATGTAAGCATATTGGACAACGTTCTAAGTTATATGTTCGGCTGGGAATTTGAAGTACACCTGTTAAATAATAAACATACAATTTATAAGTCACTTTCCTTATTTGGTATGGTAACAGAAGCAAGGCAACTTTTTATTTTACTCCTCTGTACCAGTCTGAAGGGGCAACATTAATATGAAATGTAATAGAAGATACAAAGTATCTTAAGATATTAGAACTACAGAATTACCACACTGACTGTTGTCATCAATTGTCCATGTCAATGTAAACTACCACCACATGCTGGATGTACACAGCACAACTGAACCACAAGAAAAGTGAGGAAACCAAGAAGAAATTCTGTGTAATTCTAGCATCTCAGCCCATCCACAACACTTGAAGCAAATTGTGAAATGAACACCAACCATTTTACAAAATTCATAATTTCTGAATAGTCTGATACTGTCAGAATGGTTCAAAATGTTTTTTGTGACTTACCAAGTAAATGAATAATGGTAAATAACACACTGGTTCTCTGGTAACAGAACCTAAATACTCAAACACTGATCACACCAAGGCTAAACAATTTAATCCTGTCCAGATCCTCACAACATATTTCTGTAAGATCAAGTGATCCATTCCTTGTCACACCAACCCAGGTCATGATCTCATCCCGTCAGAACTGAATGACTTCTTGAGATCTAGTCCCTGTGGAGGTAAGTATTCCTGCAAAATTTCACTGCTTTACAGCCACATTCAAGACAGCAGGCAACCAACGCTGTAAAGAATTACTTTTTTTGGTAGAAGCTGTCTTAGTAATAGTGGAAAAATTTCTGCCCTGAGACACAGCTAATTCTATGCTCACTTCAAAGCTAATGACCTATTACACTAGTATACTGACCACACCTATGTTTTCTAAGTGTTACACTTTTACCTTTCTCAAAATATGTATTTTAATTTTCGGACAAATAAATATATATTGTGTGCATGTATGAGTATAGTTCAAGGTTGACCTGGATTCCATTTTTCACAAAAATATATACATTCCGGAAACACAGAACTCTAGTTCCTTTTAAAGACACTGTCCTTTAACAGTAACACATTTTCTTCCATTGTCCTGGCATTGCCTGCAGCATAAAAGCATTTTTCCTGACTGCAGAGCCAGTTCACAAGACTGCATTTAAGTATAAACATATACATATAAACCATGCCTTCTGATATGCAATCATTTACCAACTGTCATCCACTTTCATAAATTGTTAACAATGACCAGGTAAAGCTAGAAAGTGTTTTCACTCCCTTCAACAAGAAACTCCAGCCATCATTCTCTTTCATGCACTTGTGCTAAACTAGTGACCTGTAAACATCATCACACTACAGATGCAGCGTGACATATTGCTGGAGGCTGCAGATGCTCCTTCTGCTTCGCCAGGTCGTGGAGATCCTAACTGCTAGCACAATCAGCAAACCTGACGTCTAAAATATTACAACAGAAACTTACCCACATTCATGCAGAGACTGAAAGTGCTGCTGTGGTTTCAAGATAATGTTCAACTCTGCCATCAATTTCATTCTTACCAACACAATTTCAAGCAATCAGGACTAGGCTAAAATATTCCCTCAAAAATCCTCCAATGCCTTGTACATGAGATCAGAGTTTCAAGTTTCAAGTTCTGGAAACGTTCTCAAAAAGAACTTCAATGTGCAACCATACTCTTCTTACAGACCACAAGCATAACAGCATTTCCAACTCGTAGCGTTTCACACAGGTTTGTCAAATATGCTTCAGTCCAAATTTCTGTTGCATGACTAAACAGGAGGGCGGCTTTACACTTCAGTCTGAACAGCTCATCAACTTATGGGAAGTACTAAGATGACTGAACTGTATATAAAAAGCAAGTAAAGCTATTCCTGTAACAGGTCGTGGAGGCCCATAGGGTTGTGAGATGTTGAAGTTCCCACATTTTCTATAAACAGTCAGCTCACAGATGGCGGTAACTTTGTCAGCCTTACGCACCAGCCGCCCCTTTAGCTCCAAGAATATTCTAAGAATATTCCTGGTAATCATTTCTGTTAGAGGATGAGTCAACCCCAGGGTCATACCGCAGCTGGAAGGATTAGGTCAATTGAAAAAAAAAATCCAATGACCACACCGGGACTTGAACCCACAACCTTCTGGCTTGTGGCATAGTGCCTCAACCAACTACACTACCACGTGCCCCTTGAACTGTATATACAAAACATAAAATTCTTACCTCAACTGAGATCTCCCTGTACAACATTTATCAGAACTTAATGTAGAATGGCAGGTTCATTCAATACAAATTCAAAATGTACAGGTTATCCCCAATAATAAATTTCATCAAAATCCAATAAAGGGCTCAAGTGTATAAAGTACTCAGAAAGGAAACAAGTCACAGATAACAGGAGTATTTGGTTCACTTCTGGGCTAGGGGTAACATGATGGTCATAGCTTGGAAACAGAGACATTCATATCATGTCTAGAATGCATCCTACAAAGAAGTATGGTTCACGCCATTATATTTCCAATTTGAATGTAAGAGGTGATAGGCTTGAAACAAGTAAAAACAGATAATGCATACATCAAAATTATTCTTAAATTTTCTTTCATGTAAAGTGTGTCTAAATCTGAATGATATGAAAGTAATATTCTGAAAAATTAAGTGCAAAACACAATAGAGATTTCAACATTATTTATCAACTCTGGTCCAGTCTTCAGGAAATGTCATTACTCATTACCGATGGAGCTGAGCCCTTCTTGAGGAGAAGCCAAATCTGCACTTACTCAAGAACTTCCCAGCATTTTACAGAACCCGAAAGTTCATTACCATCAATATTAGGGTTGATTTCACCGACCACACAACATGTTTTTATTATTGTCACACTACATGTTTCGACCTCAGGAGGTCATCCTCAGGTGTACGAACACAGTTGCACAATCACACGCAATCACATTCGTTTTCCACTTATTTCGATCCTGTATCCTGTCCAGGCCTACGCTCAATAAAAAAAAAATAATTTTTAAATTTTTACATTTTAAATTTTAAATTTTAACTTTTAACATCCGAATAGTATTTTAACTTGTATTTTATAAGAAGAACTTGACATATATTATTGAGCGTAGGCCTGAACAGGGTACAGGATTTAAATAAGTGGAAAACGAATGTGATTGCGTGTGATTGTGCAACTGTGTTCGTACACCTGAGGATGACCTCCTGAGGTCGAAACATGTAGTGTGACAATAATAAAAACATGTTGTGTGGTCGGTGAAATTAACCCTAATATACTGATTAAATACATAACGGGATGCAAGAAACAATTAAAGTTCATTACCATGTTCACAAGAGCCCTCCACTGGTCCCTATTCACCCACCTATGACTTGGTCTTACCAGTGGTGTTCCTTCCAGCTTTCCCACCAATGTTCTATATGCATTCCTTGTTGCTCCCATTCGTGCTACATGGCCTGCCCACGTCATCCTCCTTGACTTGATCATTCTAATTATACTTGGAGAAGAGTACAAGTTATGAAGCTCCTCATTATGCAGTTTTCTCCAATCTCCTGTCACTTCATCTCTCTTTGGTCCAAATATTCTCCTCAACACCCTGTCCTCAAAAATACTCAGTCTATCCCTTAAAGTCAGAGACCAAGTTTCACACCCATACAGAGCCACAGGTAAAATTATAGTTCTGTATATTCTAATTTTTGTGTTTTTAGACAGCAAACGAGAAAATGAAAGGTTCTGAACTGAACGGTAGCAAGCATTGCCCAAGTTGTCTCCTCTTAATTTCCTCCTGAATCAGGTTTTGATTTATCATCATCGTCCCCAAATATCTGAACTGTGCCACATTTTCATGTCATGAGTTTTCCTTGCATAATGGTGACGAGACAGCAACATACACTCAGTTTTCTCTCTGTTTACTTCTAGTACAACATCCTTGCTAGTGTCAATTATAGTTTGTGTGTTCCTCTTTATGGTGACCTAATTAACACCCAGTAGATTCACATCATCAGCACAGACCAATAGCTGATGTGTCCCATTTAATTTCAGTCCCACCTGGTTTTCCTGGACTTTCCTAATGGAATATTCTTAAGCAAATTTGAAAAGCAGTGATGATAAAGCATCTCCTTGTTGTAGACCATTCTGGATAGGAAAATTATCAGACAAATGTTTACCTATGTGGACTTTACCATACATTTTGTTTAAACACATTTTAATTGACCTGACTAGTTTCATGGGTATCCCAAACTCTTCAGCCTGACTGACTAGTTTTATGGGTATCCCAAACTCTATCACAATATTGTACAGTACTTCCCCCCTAACTGAATCATAGGCTTTCTTGAAGTCTACAATTAGCTGCTGTACTGTCTCATCGTACTCCAATTTTTTCTCCAGTATCTGACAAATGCAAAAGATCTGATAAGTTGTACTTCCACCCATGCAAAATGTTGTGGGAATCTGCAAGCAGATCACTATTCTCATCCTTCACTAAGTTACTGCTAGCCTGGTAACCTGTCTTGAAGTTATTTAAGAAATGTTGTGTCCAAAAATTTGTTTTAATGTGGAATCAGATATTAAAAATGCCTTACCAGGTTCAACATTTTCAAGGCGATTTCCAGTCTCTTGAATATTAGCACCAGTAACTGAAGCATCATTGTGACGATCAGAAAATATCCACCAGTTGTGTGTACCAACTGAGTTCAACAGACCTCTTTAGGACAGAGATAAAAAGCGTAAGTCAATCCATACTCTTTCAATTATAAAAAATAAACAGAAAACAGAAAGAACTCAATCAATAACCTGGATGAATAGAGTATTTTAACTTATGCATGGACTACTGCATCATCTTACAATTAGAAGGAATTCAAATGCCTTTCTTCAAGTACATACAACAAGGACCCTGTGAACTGTGAACACTTCTTTAACCACACTACAAAAATTAATCCAGTCCTTATTATTAAAAAAATTACTAATCCAGTAAAAAGTAAAAGTAAGTAAAGTAAAGTAAAGTAAAGGTATCCTTGTAACAGGCTGTGGAGGCCCATAGGGTTGCGAGGTGTTGAGGTTCTCACATTTTCTAGACAATCAGCTCAAAGATGATGGTAAGGTTGTCAGACTTATGCACCAGCCGCCCTTTACCCCCAGGAAGATTCCTGGTACTCATTTCTGTCAGAGGCTGAGTCAACCCCAGGGCCATAGTGTGGCTGGAAGGATTAAGTCAATTGGAAAAATCCACCTCATTGGGATTCGACCCATGACCTTCCGGCTTGCAGCATAGTGCCTCAAGCAACTATTATTCAGTGATTTCAAGAAAAATGTACTCTGTTCATTTTAAGCATCCATGTAGGAGAATTAGGTCAGAGGATAAACATGCACAAATTTCTAAAAGCTGAAGTGATTCAAAGCACTGCTAATCCTCTACATTACCACCAGATGACAAAAATATACAAATGTGATCAGAATGTATGAACCAGCTCTTGAAAACATGCTGAAGCAACTGTGATGGAACGTCCATGCATGCCCTTTTGAGCTCACTCGTCAGGAGTCAGGGAAAATTTGTACTATTCCAAAATCTTTATCATCTCCTGCATCACCATTTGGTCTCTTGTTATGAGCACATCAACTTTCTGCTTGTTGCATTCTATTGCGATTCTTGGCTGATCACTGCCAAGTACATCAGATGTGTCCTTGCTGCCATCTTCAAAACATTTAATCCAACAATACACACTATTGGCACCCACGCATGAATCTCCATAGACATGAGAAAGCTGATCAAAGAAGCGGACAGCAGAATTGTTCTCCTTTAAGATAAGTTTAATCACAACACGCTGGTAAAACAATACATCACTTACAACCATTCTACTGCAGTGGATTTTGGGTACGCATTGGTGAACGTACACTTCACCTGTGATTCAGACTGCAGATAACATATAGAGCTACTGGCTGTAAAACCCCCAGTCTCATTACACTGATGAAACATACATACACCAATGAGGTTCATTGCTTTTGGTATGGTCATTATAATTCCAGAAAATACCACTGGACACCATAACACATCTAGACTTCACCATGTGAAGTTTTGCACGGAAAGCAAAACATGAAAAACTTACAAAGGGCTGGGCAAAATAATGGAAAAACTATATATACTGTACACAATTCTTCATTAATATGGTGTCGTACCATCTTTTGGCTTCAGTCCCTAGCGGAATGTTATAGCATTCAAGCTGCTTTAGATATGCTGGAGGTGGATCTGTTCCTGAGTCTAGTATCCAAATCTGACCAGAGTGGTTCAATGATGTTCAAATCTGGTGACTGTGCTGGCCAGGGAAGATGCAGTAGTTCACCATAACTGAACAGTTCCAGCTATGTGAATGCGGACATTGTCATCTCGGAAAACTGAATCGTTCAGAAATAACATCTGGATCATGGAATGCACCTGATTACCCAACCTGTCCATGTACTCCCTTGCAGTAATTCAGTCATGAAGGGTAATAATATGGCCAACAGAGTATTGTACCATGATACTGCTGCCAAACCACCACAAAACCTGCCCCGTGTTTCACTGCTGGAATCAGGCATTCCAGACTGTAGGCTTCCTTGGACGTTCTCCAAATATAAACTCTACCTCATATAAGGAACACCATGAAGGACAACTCATCTGAACCTATCACGCATGCGTTTCCAGTTGTCTGATGTCCAGATTATATGGTCTTGACACCACTGTTTATGCACCTGAGCATTAATTTCAGTAATCAGGTAAAGCTATCCCTGTAACAGGCCATGGAGGCCCATAGGATTGTGAGATGTCAAGACTACATTTTGTTGTCAGCCTTACACCCTGGCCATGCTTTACCCCCAGGAAGATTCCTGGTACTAGTTTCTGCCAGAGGCTGAGTCAACTCCAGGGCCATGGTGTGGTTGGAAGGATTAGGTAAATTGAAAAATCCAATGACCTCATAGGGAATTCAATCGGCGACCTTCTGGCTTGTAGCATAGTGCCTCAACCAACTACACTACTGTGTGCAACTTTTAGTAATCAGAGGTTTGGCAATTACAGCCCTATCATGGATGTTGGCTTTGTGAAGCTCACGCTGAACACTTTTTGTGCGAACATGGTCTTCAAAATGAATGGTCAGCTCTGCTGCAGTTCACCTGTGCTGTGATTTTTTCCATGATTTTTCAAAACAGTTCTTCTCAATGTATGTCAGTGTTTATTTTTTACCACTGTTCCTCTTCGCTGATGTTGTCTTCCCATGATTTGCGTATGCCAACATAACCTTAGAAACTGTCGCTCTCGATACACCTCATAATGTGACAGTTTCTGTCACTGATGCTCCAGCTAAATGTGCACCAACGATCTGTCCTCTTTTGAAATCGGATAAGTCTCCCATTTTCCAGTTGTTTCACATGGACTGTCACTCAACACAATCACTAATACACTGACACAAGCACTACAGTGTTAACAAACGGAAGAACTTTCAGTGTTGCCAGTTGAAGTTCTTTCAATGTAGCCAACACAAGTTCTATTCCTCAATTCTTTAGTCCTTCCATTCACCTCCTATGTACACAAGTAACGTAGGCACATATACCAAAAAATACAGTAAATTAATAAGAAATAAAACTGTACTGTTAATACATGTTTACCACTAATGTCTCTGCACAAACTGTTGTCAAGTCCTCATATTAAAACTAAATTCCAGTGACAACTACAAACGACATCAAACAACAAAAAACATAGACAACCCACAGCAATTATCAAACACAGGTTAATATTTACACATAATGTACCAAAAATACACTAAAGGTTAAATAATGAATGACTGCAGACATCATGAAAAGTTAAACAGTTCCATCTAGTGTGACTGGTGAAGATTTTTCTTATTTCAATTATTTATGCCCTTACATGTTTCGGTCTTCAGAGACCATCATCAGAGGGACACCTTTACATCAATACAGTTGGAAGCTACTATTACAGTACATGTTCTGTAAGAGTATTGATGTAAAGGTGTCCCTCTGATGATGCTCTCTGAAGACCGAAACATGTAAGGGCATAAATGACTGAAATAAGAAAATCTTCACCAGTCACACTAGACAGAACTCTTTAACTTTTCATGATATTGTTAGTGTGATGGACTAGAATGAAACAAATCAACTGCAGACATATTTAAATGGCAAAACTGGCAGAGTGGGTTCACAGATGCATCATCATCTGTGGCTATTTGTGCCTGGATAAATGTCGACTCAAATAATCTTTCTTAAACTCAATATAAAATTGAGTGAAACTAAATGCTCATCCAACTGCAGTGGGTTAGTAGAATTGTCAAAAGAAGCAACATCACATAATGGGTTCAAAAATTATAATAAAACAGGCTCCATATGGTGCAGTCACAGCTTCAACAATGAGGATAAAATGACTCAGGCACAACAACAAAAAGAGATGACTAATAAAGTTGTCTGCCCTAAACAAAAATGTTAGATCTGTTATGGTGATCATCCCACAAGACATCGCGAAAAATCCAGTGAATGTGAAAGCTTTGGTGTTAACAATCATAATGTGGGCATTCCTACAGGATGTGTAAAATGATAAGGGCCTCCTCACAAAATAAACATTTGAATTAGCTGAGTGAAGTCAGATGTTGATGGCACAACACTAACCACATAACACAACAGAAAACTGTATGGAAGCAACTATACAAGTCATTGAACTGTATGCGCACTGCTCATGCCACCAATGAAAGTTCCCATTGCTGATGACTACAATGGTATGTAACAGGCAACTGTCTCCTAAAACATCTCTGAGGCAGCATCATTATCAGCATCAACACTTTTCATGACTACAAACATCACTGAATCGATGAAGACTGGTATTAAATTGTACAATCTACATATAATGTTCCCTATAAGCATCATGTGGAAGATCTAGTTGAATACACAAACCTTTTCGTTCATAAGGTTGACTATTCATGATATGATGCACCCTCAAACATATTTTATACAGAGAACCCCACCTTCTGAAGACCAGTCTGCTGCATCTGTTTAGTGCCCCTCACACAATACTTCCAAAGTATGTAATTCAATCCTGAATAGAAAGGAGTGCTAACAGTAACATTTCGTTGTCGGGTACACTCTTTTCGGAACGAACCTGGGATCTGATGTTCTCACAGCGGTAGTTATGACACGTGTAGACCGGTGAAAGCCAACCAACCTTTTGGAGGATCATGTCTCCTCAAACCTTCGAGGTCGAAGAACACGGTAAGCAAGACACCAGAGTTAAATTCCACGCCATATCTTTTCTTATTGAGAACGAAGCGTGCGAAATGTGAGAACAATGTAATAAATACCGAACAATCTTTCAATATAGTAACTGTAATCGGAAAATTTTTCAGTCTTCATATTCGACGGATCCAACATGGGACAAGCATAATGGTTAAACGTAATGGTTAGGTTACCAAATGAATCACATCTTACCTCCAATCTGTGTTCCGTATCGTAAAGTGAATTAGCGGTATTAGTCCAATTATTACAAGAACCGCAATTGTCAGCACCTCATTTCCGATTCCATAAATATAATCTGCCCGCATTGTCAAGCTGAATACAGACATCTGATGTTAAAACTATCGTTGCACCTTTCTTAATTGACAATATCCGGTCACCTCTTAAGAAGAATATTATATTAAGGAAATGTGAACAACGCACACAACACATATATATACCTATATTATAAATCTCGTTTGATTTCACCCTGCTACCAGCACAGAGTACATGAAACACACAGAGTACAGAGCGGTGCAGAGAGCGCTCATCTCGTACGGACCACAGAAATTCCCATTGACTGAAAATGCATAGATTTGCAGCTGAAGCCGGGTAACGGAAAGAATTACAAGGCTTTACATACAATGTTCTTAGCCCCAACCACTGAAAGGGAGGTGGTAGACATAATTAAAACACTGGGTAACAAAAAATCAACGGGCATTGACGATATTCCACAGTTCATTATTAAAAAATGTCATCCTCAACTAGTAACTGCTCTAACATACTGTCACATGTTTGGAATTCCGAAGGGTTACTTCCATGGAAACGCTCTAGCGCTAGAACAGACCGTTGGCTAGGAAGTAACAATAGCGATACTGTAATTCTAACAGTGAGCATTGCATAGAGAAGAGTTTCCACGGTTATAACAAAGGCTCATTGTATAGCAATCGCCGAGGTATAAATAGTCCAGCTTGGACTAGAAGAAGTCAGTCTGGAATTGGTCGCCGAATAGGTTAGTCTGGTATTAACCGCCGGAGAAGAGAGTCTTCAGGTTCAGGAAGCTGCCACTGAAGATAGTTGGAGCTACAGAAGTACTGGCCGAGATATTGTGTAAGCAGTAATTGTAATACTGCAAGTGCTAATGGTTGTAAAGTGTGTAAGTGTGAGTGTCCAATAAAGATTCGCTGAATCCGAGACCCGCGTGAATTTATTTGTCGCTTGACACACCCAACACGTGACAACACATTATAAATCTGTCATTTTCATCTGGTTATTTCCACGACCAACTAAAAATAGCAAAAGTGCCAATTCTCCATGACCAAAATGTCCTGTCAGTCCAAATCAAGAGTCAAAACAATGTTGCTAACTTTTTATATTAGAGGGAATGTTCATTATGAGTTTGTACCAACTGGACAGACAATCAACCAAGTTTACTCGTACAGGCCAGTGTCATTAATTTCGGTGTTTTCTAAAATAATCGAAAAAATTATGCACAATAGACTTTTATCATTCATAAATAAGTACAGCATAATCAACAATAAACAGCATGGATTCTGCAAAGGAAAATCAACACATACAGCAATCACAGAATTTACAAAAGCGGTTTACAAAGCACTAGATGAAAAAGAAATGAATATAGGGATATTTTTGGATTTATCAAAAGCGTTTGACCTAGTAGATCATGATATATTGCTAAGTAAGATGGAAAGAATGGGAATACGTGGGGTTACACTAAGGTGATTCCAAACATACTTAGAAAACAGAGAACAAGCGGTAGAAATTACATACAGATGCAAAAAAAAAAAAAAAACTAATCGTAACATTAATTACCTATCCCGAAAGAGACCCATCAGCTATGGCGTCCCACAAGGTTCCGTTCTGGGACCAGTATTGTTTCTGTTGTACATAAACGACCTGGAGGCCAGCGTAGAACATGGGAAACCTACGTTCTTTGCCGATGATACTAGCATTTTTATAGCAGGAAATAGCGCTAACGAAATTCAAAGGAAAACAAATGAAACAATAAACAAGATCACAGAGTGGTTTGAGAGGAATCGATTAACTATTAATAAAGAGAAAACAATAGCACTAGCCTTCCATCATCCTCAAAAACTACAACTTGAATGCCCCCCAATAAAGATTTATGACACAGTTATGAACTACACAGATCACTCAAAATTTCTGGGAGTCTGGCTAGATAAGCATCTAAGATGGACTATGCGTACGCAAAAGTTAGCGAACAACTTGCGTAATTAAAAACAGAAAATCAATCAAATCGTGGCTCATAGAAATGTCGGATTTTTTCAAGCATGAAATGTGTGGAAAATGGTCGAGCCATGCATTCTCTTTAGGTGCTGTAAGCCACCGAGGGTACGCTGAACCAAATATGAGGAACTTCCCTTTTCTCAAAACGCCAAGAAGACGAAAGGAGTGGGATACTATTAAGAAAAGCGAAAACAATAAAGTCCCGAGTCAAACGATTGGACGGAATCTGGGGAGAAGGCAAAGGAAGATGAACACAGATAACAGCAGAACTAAAATATCTGAACAGAGTTAAAAAAACATCGAACGAAGGAACAACTATAAAGACCAGACAATGTTACAGAAAACTTTAGATGAGTTCTAATCCATTGAGATGGAGGACGAAGTCAAGAACGTATTGGTGACAATAAATAATCAATTTAGTGATAAAATCCAGGGACGCTAAAGAAATGGACAGACACCTGTGGAAAGTCGTCAAGCTTCACGGACAACATCACAATAAAATTGAACGGGAATCAACCAATTAAGATAGTTCAGTGGAACTGTAGGAGCCTAAGTTCCCCAAATTCCAACAGAGGAGCCAAAACATAGATGTCATAATGCTATCAGAGACCTGGCTTGGTGAAGCAGATAGTTCAGTGGAACTGTAGGAGCCTAAGAAGCAAGTTCCCCGAATTCCAACAGAGGAACCAAAACACAGATGTCATAATACTATCAGAGCCCTGGCTTGGTGAAGCAGATAGTTCAGTGGAACTGTAGGAGCCTAAGAAGCAAGTTCCCAGAATTCCAACAGAGGACCCAAAACATAGATGTCATAATGCTATCAGAGACCTGGCTTGGCAAAGCAGAAAGTGTATACCTAAAAGGGTTTTACGTGGCATGAAAGAAAGGAACGAAAGGGCCATTTTTATAAATAAAAACTGAAATATTCGCATAAGAATGGTTTGTGTGATGGTGACAGCAAAATTTATGCGTGTACAATTGAAATATATACGGGCCAAGATAAAATATTAATCGTGTCATGTTACAAGCAACCACACATGAAAATCAATCTGAGAGTATGGAAATTCAAAGGAAAATTCTTGATTGGTGGAGACTTTGCGTGGTTGGCCTAATCCTTCCAGCTGCACAATGACCCTGGGGTTCACTCAGCCTCTAAAAGAAATGAGTACCAGGAATTAATTAAATAATTTTCCTGGGAAGTAAAGCGTGGCCAGCGCGTAAGGCTGACAACCTTACCGCCATCTTTGAGCCAATTGTCTAGATAATGTGGCACCTTCAATGTCTCACAACCCTATGGGCCTTCACAGCCTGGCACAGGGATAGCTTTACTTTTACTTTCAGACAATTGCACAGACCATGTAAACAATGTTCATTTTATGGAACAACAGCAATAAAATACAAAAATCTAAATCATTATTTCCAACAATATTCCTCTACAGTGTAGAAGGAATTTGTGAGAAGAAATCTCTTTAGTGCTGCTCTAAATTTAGAAGTGTCATTTATGAGTTGTTTAAGAGCCAGTGGAAGATGATTAAAAAGTTTAATACCAGTATAACTAACTACTGTCTGAAATACTGATAAATTTGCTACTTGAAAATGTAAATCATAATTAAATCTTATATTAAGCCCATGAACATCTGAATTTGTTTTAAAACACTCTTTATTGTTAACAACAAACATAAGTAGAAAAAATATATATTGAGACTCAAGTGGAAGAATATGCAAATTCTTAAATAAATCACAACAGGAGTCCCTACCACTAGAACCTGCAATAATTTTTATTATTCTATGCTATATTTAACCAATTAGAAGACAGCACTTTTTGTCACCAGGAACATTCAGGGCAAATAATTCCATCATTTGACCCAATACAAATATAACTGTGTTCATTCAGGCAAACAAAAGGTTTCTTGGTAAGAGTTGCACCTAGTACATGTTGCATTCCCTCCACTTCCTTCAGCCTCTTTGGTGTACAGGAACTCCTTCTTGAGAAGCCCATAGTTGCTTAGAGCATCATCAGGAAACCCTTGCCTTCTGTGGAACTTATAGGTTCTTTAGCATGACCACAGAAACCTGCCACTAGATCATGACCTGGGCTAGGTGAGTCCTGTCCACATCCTCTCACCCTGTTTCTTTGAGATCTGTTTTAACATTGTTCCCCATTTATGCCTTGTTCTTTTCAGAGACTTGTTGTCTTTGGGTTTTGTAAGCAGTAGCCTCAAGCCTGAAGTTCATTTAAATAATATTCAAAATTCTCGTTTTTAACTAATTATTTCATGGAGCTGGGCACTTCTTGAGAAGCCACAAGTTGTGCTGCTATTCAAGAACTTCCTAGGAGTCTTTGGAACCCAGAGGTTCATTGGTTCATTACCATGTTCACTAGAGGCCTCCACTGGTCCTTATCCTGAACCAGATCAATCCAGTCCATACCACCAGACCCCATCTCTCGCAAATCCATTTTAATATTATCCACCCATCTACATCTTAATCATCCTAGTGGTTTCTTTCCTTCTGGTTTTCCCACCAATATCTGATATGCATGCAACTTCACCCCCATTCATATTATATGCCCTGCCCATCTCATCCTCCTTGACTTGATCATTCTAATTGGCGAAGAGTACAAGATATGAAGATACTGATTATGCAGTTTTGTTCAACCTCCAATCTCCTGTCACTTCATCCCTCTTCAGTCCAAATATTTTCCTCAGCAACCTGTTCTCAAACACCTTCAGTCTATGTACCTCCCTTAATGTCAGAGACCATGTTTTATAGCAATATAGAACAACAGGCAAAATTGTTTTTTTATACTCTAATTTTTATATTTTTAGACAGCAGTCAAGAAGACAAAAGTTTCTGGACTGAATAGTAGCAAGCATTATCCAGATTCAATCTACTCTTAATTGCCTACTGAACCAGATTTTGAACTGTGCCAAATTTTCAAAATGTATGTTAGCTATATTCACGTCATGATATTATCCTGCATTCTGGTGAGAAGACAGCAACATATAATTAGTTCATACTCTGCAGAAAACAAAGAATGTCTCCATTACAAATACTTAATTTGGTTTCAGTTAGAATAAGTCGCATCTCATCCACATCAACATTGATTTCAGTGTACCAAGATGGAAAGCTACAATTCTTGCCTGTCGATTAATGACTCATATAGCAGAAATACCTCTAAAACTTCAAGAGCTTGAGACAGTGTCATTATGCCCAATTTTAACATTTAACATGCTTCCATTCACTTAAGCTACATA